GCATTCCACTGACTTTTTCTTTGGCATTCAAAGCATTTCACTGGATTTTACTATAGCATTCAAAGCATTCCACTGGATTTTACTTTCACATTCAAAGTGTTCCACTGACTCATACTCTGGCATTCAAAGTGTTCCACTGACTTTTACTTTGACATTCAAAGCATTCCACTGACTTTTACTTTGGCATTCAAAGCATTCTACTGACTTTTACTAAGACTTTCAAAGCATTCCGCTGACTTTTACTTTGGCATTCAAAACATTCGACTGACTTTTACTTTGGCATTCAAAGAATTCTTTGACTATTACTTTGGCATTCAAAGCATTCCACTGACTTTTACTTTGGCATTCAAAGCATTCCACTGACTTTTACTTTGACATTCAAATCATTCCACTGACTTTTACTTTGGCATTCAAAGCATTTCACTGGATTTTACTATAGCATTCAAAGCATTCCAGTGGATTTTACTTTCACATTCAAAGCATTCCACTGACTTTTACTTTGGCATTCAAAGCATTCTACTGACTTTTACTAAGACTTTCAAAGCATTCCGCTGACTTTTACTTTGGCATTCAAAGCATTCAACTGACTTTTACTTTGGCATTCAAAGAATTCCACTGACTATTACTTTGGCATTCAAAGCATTCCACTGCATTTTACTTTCACATTCAAAGCATTCCACTGACTTTTACTTTGGCATTCAAAGCATTCCACCGACTTTTACTTTGGCATTCAAAGAATTCCATTGACTATTACTTTGGCATTCAAAGCATTCCACTGCATTTTACTTTCACATTCAAAGTATTCCACTGACTTTTACTTTCACATTCAAAGCATTCCACTGACTTTTACTTTGGCATTCAAAGCATTCTACTGACTTTTACTTTGGCATTCAAAGAATTCTTTGACTATTACTTTGGCATTCAAAGCATTCCACTGACTTTTACTTTGGCATTCAAAGCATTCCACTGACTTTTACTTTGACATTCAAAGCATTCCACTGACTTTTACTTTGGCATTCAAAGCATTCTACTGACTTTTACTTTGGCATTCAAAGCATTCTACTGACTTTTACAAAGACTTTCAAAGCATTCCGCTGACTTTTACTTTGGCATTCAAAGCATTCCACTGACTTTTACTTTG